TGCGTGACAGAAAACGATGTTCCTTTCTTGTTTCCTCAACCTTGTGATCTCGAAAGACATGGTCACTTAAAATTGGTTCACTTTATGATGAATCAACTAACGACTGCCAATTTATCGTACAGAGTCGCAGGACAATATGCCAAGAACCACTTGGCCCATGGATCACTCGTGCAGAGCTGTACCATCACAACGTAAATAACACGGCTCTTGCAAGTCCAAAACTTTTGGGAGGGAACGAGATTTCACTTTCAGCTCCCAAGTTGGAAAGTGCGGCAGCGTCCAATCTCCACGGAATAATCGATAACAGCCTTCATTCTAATACTTTTCTCTCTCCGTCTTGAGCACTCGCGGCATATACTCCGATGCAACGTGTATGACATCAATGGATTATGGCTCGCACCCGTTATTAATATCGGCATAATCTACGTTATCGGCGATACAGACGCAATATCCGTGCACAGGTGAAACTCTCGTGCATGTATGAAATTCCCTAGGAGATAAGACGTAATAGAGGGGGAATGCTGCTTTCGACATCCGGTATGAGAGAACTTTCTTTCGTCTGCACTAGCATGGCCTTGCTAGTGCCGCCGATTTGTTTTCTTGACGAACGAATCGCTTTGGTGCCGATCAGTGTTTTTAGCACTACTAGTCACAAAAACCCTTAGATAACCAATCAAAAAGAAACACTCACCAGCGATGAACCTGAAAACCAAATCCCAAGCTACGCGATTTCTAAAACGGAAGGGAGGAAGGAAGCATGCAGGTGTAAAAGTAGTCTCGTGCGGTCGCCCACACTCACATTTTTGTGGCTACTCTCTCATGTCACGGCTGCTTTCCCCTCCTTCTTCTCACCACTCGCCCATGTCACTTGTGGTACGATACTTGCAGTGACAGCCTAGAAAGAATCGGTTAACGACCAATGGATATGTATATATCGTACGACCCGAACAGCCGGTCCGTTTGGAGAAGCTTTTCACCGCAGTCTGGAAACACTACTGTCACAACGATCCAACCGATCTTTTGACCCTTAACCCTTACAAAATCACGCACACACGACCCTCCAAGTTAAAAGCAATGGCTAACAATTATTATCAATGTGATAAAACAATAACAAAAACAATAACAAGAAGTAGCGTCAAGAGGCGCGATACAGATGTTGAAAATCGGTGAGAGGCCGGTGCTCGACTGAGGCGCTTGCGGCTGGAGCCGGCTATGCGTGCTCGCTGCTCTCTCTACCCGTAACTCCTTCGAGGAAGAGAGACGGTCGTTCGTTATGCTAGTCAGTCTAGTCTCCTTCTCTTTTCTACACTTAGGTTGGACATGATGGATGTGGTTCCACGGGATTCATTGGGAGAGAAAGAGAGTAGGGTAAGTCAACGTTTTCCGATACGGATGATTGCTGAGGTGAATATGTTGGACTTTGTTTACGAAGAGAAAATTATGTAATTTATTTATCATTTTCGTATGAGATGCGCATCTTGTAGATGAAAGGTATGGACTCGTCATATGACCTGGGTATACATGAATGTTTATGATGATCCCAATCGTAACAGTACACATAAGCTTTGATAAAATACTTCTCCATGTATGAGCTGAAAAAACTTTCACTAATTCTGTTGTTGTGGTTGCTGGATGTAAAGAAAAGAGGAACAATTCAAAAATGAATAAAGAATCACGATAACGCACTCATTTTAATTCCTTTCTTCGAGCCAGCTGTGACTGTATAAAGTGATAACTCTCATTTCAAAGCTTTCCAGAAAGCTCCTCATAGGATATAGTTCCATCTGAATTGAAAGCAGTCGTTGATATCTGAAATGATTCTTTATGCGTTGCATATCTTCTGCTTGTGTAAGGAAATCCAGAAAAATGAGTTCAGTACCCAGTTCCTTGTCTCCTTTCGTTTATTAAAATAATTGCGTACCTCTGATATTTTTTTTTTTCTTTGTTTTTGTATGAGATACATTTCAATGAGCTCATCGGCTTGCTGGTTGCATGCGCACATACTTGATTACTCTTTTGTTATTTCATACGTCATTTTAGAAATGTCTAAAATTGACGTCATGAAAGCGGGTCTTACTGTTTTTGCAAAGATCTCAGATTTTTTTTTTTTTTACATGTTAATTATATTTATACATCATAATTTTAAATGTAAGCTGAATTTGAAGTATAAGATTTTAGAGAAAGTTTCGTTGAGTGAAGTAAGAATATTTAGAATTGGATGGATGAGTCGCTTAACACTGAAAATACAGTATGTAATGATTTTGATGAACTTGACGACTATTGCGCTTCAGGCAGTACTTTGAAGAACAAGGCATTGTTTTAAAATAAATGAAGTGCTTCTTTCAAACACAAAAATTCATCATGTATTTATAATATCGGGAAACTTCCACGTAGATGGATTGAGATTAAGTATCTCTAAAATTTGATCCATAGTTGCTGTTTACTTATGATACATTACTTTGGCTAATATCTTTTATTGCTTTCTATTAAAATTTTTTACTAGTGATAAAAATGACGATAAGTACATTTAACTTCTTCGTCTATGACAGGGCTACTACAATAAGATCTTAACAGAAAGTGAAATAAATTTTAATGATTGACATACCATGTATAGAGTTATGTAGAAAAAAAATTATATTTATACACCAATCAAACAATTCTATGCGTCACTCGTTATTATACATTTAGATAAAAGCTTACTTCTTCTTTCTCTATTATTTTACCATATCAGCAAGATTGTACTTATATTATACAGGCATGCACAGATGCATTGCAAATTATTGTAATAAAAATTTTTCTCGAGAATAGCAAAATTAAAAAGGGACAAATCATAAGACCCATAGTGATCGCATAACACAGACAAACACAAACACGCGCGCGAATTTACTCGCAGGTACAAGACAGCTTTCGCTGACCCCAACGACGATTCTCTATGCTTCTTTCTTGGTGAAACGCTGGAGTTCATATACATTAAAGGAATTTCGCTTGCTTTCTTTTTCTCTCTTGTCGGAATTTATTTTTATACACATACGTACATCACGAGCGATGCTTTACACGACTATTGACGTACAGTTGTTGAGTAACCCATCAATTACGAAGTCGATGTTTGGCCATACGCGCTGATGGAGGATCTCCTTAGTGAAATATTTTTCGATCGTATTGAAAACTTTAACGTATTGATGTTTTTGACAAAAAGCTTTAGCACGATATGACTGGATTTTGGAAAAAGTGTAGTTATGTCATGATTTTTGGATGTATTTTTTATGGGATTTTATTTGGATTTTAATATCCAGGATTTGAAGTTTTTGTTTGTTTATCCATACATCAGCTCAAAAGAAAAAACTTTAACTGTTATACCTTGCGACAGTTATTAATTTTTCTTCTTTTTTTAAATATTTTTTTCCAGATCGATAAGGTAAATAATATTCCAATTTTATTTTTAAAACTATTTTGTTATAAAACGTATAGAAATATCATTTTTTGTTTGTAATCATCTATTTACCTTATTTCTTTCTTTTTTTTTTAATGATCTTAAATAATTTTCCTTGAAAGTCTTATAACAATTTCTTACGATTATTGAAAAAAGTTGTGACGATCTATGGCGTTGAATATTAACTTTTTTATACTTATAATATCTCAGACATAAAACATGTTATTACTAAGATACTCTCTC